GGTCCCTTTTATTAAGAGAGGCATGTAAAGAAGCTCGCCCAGAAACGGTTTGTTAGGCCCCCATGCGTTACTGCTGCTATTGGAAAGCAAACACCCCGAGGGGATATTTCGGAGTGTTGCTTGCTCTCCCTCTCATTAAGAAATCTATTCTCTCGGAGTTTTTTCACGGTCTCAGCAGTATATGTAAATAAAGGATCGTTATGGTGCCATAATTCTAAAGCAATGGGCCCCAACTATACATCAGGCAATCTATAAAGCAATCTGGGCTGACATCGTCATGGCCGCGCTCTCCTTCCCTTCTTTTCTCTTCGTTTCTTTTATTTCCTCCACCTCCCCTTCCAAGGCAAAATCATTCATTAGCCCGAGTGATCCTGCACACATGAAACAAGCATATACAATTAAATGGACTTGAAAGAAGGCCGGCACCATGTCTGAGGCCCTCAAATTGCAGCAGGGCAAGTGTTGGCCAGGGCAAATGCTTTATTGGAAGAGATTTGGGCAGCCACCCCAGTGGACGGGCTCTGAAGGCAAACCTGGGTTTTCCACAGCAGGGAGCCACAGCAAAGGGTAGGGACATCCATCTTATTTTCAGCCTGCGTCACTTCTTTATGTGTCCACTCATTATGTCTACATTCCTGTGAATATGCAAATACAGTTCATATCAACCACAGTTCATATCAGAATTTGTAAAGAATAACTTCTTCAGATACCCATAGTTAGAGTCAGTCCTGAATCCCTGGTGCAGTGTTTTTTCACTTAAGACCCAAGGGCCAGGTCTCTGCAGGGCTCTCAAGCTTTGCTGTGTTGCTCACTTTAGTTATGGACTAGCTGCTGTGATCTGGGCTACTGGAAGAGGCTTCTAGTAGCCCAGGTTGGAGTGTCCAAAGAGCTGCTGCTCCTCAGCTGTAAGGAGCAGGTGGGAGGAATCAGCCAGTGAAATGTTGTGGGGAGGAGCCCAAGATGCAACAGCATTGTGATTGGCTAGCTGCAGTGGTACACTGTGTAGTCACTGGAGTTGGAGGGGAAATTAAATATGCACAGACTTGTAGTAGGAGATTATGCGTCATTGAGTAAGTGACAAGAAAAATATCCATTCCCATCCAAGGACCAAGTGTACCTGCTAAAACGTGCCTTTCTGGGAAATGACGGATGAGGCCGTGCTTGGACGATGTGCTGAGGCTTGAAAAGCTCTCCAGGCAGTTCTGAGGTACCCCATCCTCCTGGGCCTGGGAAAAGACACCTTGCTGGAAAAACTGTAGCTCACTCCCCCAATGGGTGCATATGGCAGCTGCCCCTGTCTTAAAGACTCAGAAGGCAAATGAGTCCACATCCATTGACACCAACTTGATAGTAAGGCATAGATCACCAACGAATACATTAACCTGTTTCTACAGTTGAATGGTAATGCTTCTTTTTGTTATGTTTGAAAAAGATGCTGAAACAAAAGCTGCATTTGTCATCCTGAACACCCTTTTCAGTGCATTTTAATAAGCGCACACTCCCAGTTAAACACAAAAGTAGCTACACAAGCATTTGATGGTGTTTACATGGCATCTCGGAGTTCTCTTGTTCTGGTGTACCTGGCCCAGTACATTTAGCACATCATGTTCACATGGCATGAAAAGCCACAGGAAAATCTTACCACTGTGGGACATTGCGTCTTCTAGACCTAGTTCATAGCTCTTGTTTGGTAGGATGAGTTTCTGAAACAATTGAAAGAATCAGTGGTCTGGACTAAAGTTTCCAAGCCTCACTATGGCCTCTCAAGTTGTGTGGCGTAGTGGTTAAGAGCATGAGACGAGGACTCAGGTGATCCGGGTTCGAGTCCCCACTCAGCCATGGAGCCAACTGGGTGACTTTGGGCCAGTCACAGACTCTCAGCCCAACCTGCCTCACAGGGTTGTTGTTGTGGAGATAAGATGGAGGAGGAGAATGATGTAAGCTGCCTTGAGCCCTTTGTAGGAAAAAGGCAGCATGTAAATTGAAAAAATAAATTGAAAAAAAATAGGATCACTATTATACCATGGCTGCAACGGAAACACCATAGAGTCCCCTGGCAAGACTGGCTGCAGAACTGGCTGCTTCAAGCCTTCAATCTCTACTGCCCTCAGCTCCCTAGCAACACGGGCATCACTGCCCACATTATTCTAGTGATGCGTTTGACTCTGTCTATTCTTGGGAACAGGGAGAAAGTGCAAAAATAAATGAAGGGTGAAGGAGGGAATCACTGTGAAATGGTTCATGTACATTTAATACAAATCTCCGTGACGGCTGGAGTGGTTGGGAATAGAGGTATATTTGAGAGCACAGTGGGGGAGGAGGAGCCACTTTAGTACTGCAGTGGACCAATCAGTAGGAGGCTACTGTAGCCCATAGGCATGAATTGGGAAAGGACAGAGATGTTGCTTTTGGGAGCTGCAGGGATGCGTGGCAAGTCTGGGAGGACGAAGCAGGGAGCATGGAAACCATACAGCCCAGGTAACCACTGATGGGCTGACCAGAGTTACGCCAGGTAATCTTGGGGAGCATTGTGCCTCGGAAGGAGATGCTTGTGCTCCAGACTGCCTCAAAAGATTTGCAACCTTTTTCTGGGTTTAAGAAGAGAACAAGCCCTGGTGTTGCATTTGCACAAACACACTTAGCACTTAGCAAGGAAAAGGAGAGCTTATTCATCAGTAAAATACAGAGCAGGCACAAGCTTTATTTATTTATTTATTTATTAAGACATTTTTATGCCGCCCCATTCGCCGAAGCCTCGGGGCAGCTTACAACAATAAGTTAAAATACAAACATTAAATTATAACCTTAAATTAAGATGTTTGTAAAGTGTAGACATAAAGTTAAAACACAAAAATAACAATATAAAATAAGTCGCCCGTGTGGTCCAGGCAACAAATATTCCCATTGCATCCCAATCTTACTCTAGATTTCTAAAGAGAGAAAGAGCTTCCTACCTAGCAGAGAGAGTTGTCCTGCAGCAATAGAGCTTGTGGGTCCAGAACTCTTGAATGGGGAAGTGGGAAGAGGGAGTCCTTTCTGAACCTCTGATATGTTACCATCTCTCTCTCTCTCTCTCTCTCTCTCTCTGAACATGTGACTTATGGGAAACATGAGCTTCCCAAGCTTATGCTGATTGTTGGAATGGTGCTTGATGGCTTCTTGATAGCCTTGTTTTCTTGGGTAAGAGGTGAGTCCTTTTGTCTGTGTTTGCTACTGCTATGGAAGCGGTAATTTCCAGGTGTCTCAGGGCAATGGGCCACCTTCCCAGAATAGGGAGACCCACTAGATAGCCCAGAATATTAGGTCCTTCTTCCTGAATTCAAGTGTCCCCAACTCGACCCTGGCCTGCAAGCCCAGTCTGGCCTGGGAGCTTATGGTTATGGTGCTAATATTGATATATAAATGCAGTACATCAGTACATTAAGGCAAACCTCCATGCACTCTCGAAATTAGGGATAGTGCTGTCCGTAGCTGTCCAGAGATTCATGCAGGATCCCCCCTTTCACCCTACCTTCGTTGAGGAATCAAACCTGGAACTGATTGCACACCAAGCACACGGTCTATCTCTAAGCCGTGTCTCAGGCTGCCCTCAGCTTGCATGTGTACATCGTGATGAGCTTTGTGATTTCCCGTGGCCCAACAGGAGCCTGGGAAACCAGCATTTCCCATAATTGGCCCACGTGGACCTTCCGTGCATTCATTCATTTGTATACCACATAAATATAAAAAATCCCCAAGTTCAGATGCAAATATTGAAATTGCATTTAAAATACAATTAAAATACCATATTAAAACCATTTTAATTGCATGAATATAGAGCAACAAACGAGCAGAGAAAAATGGAGCCAAGTGATTAATTTAATTATAAGCCACAGGAAGCCTAGGAGAACAGTTGCATTTTCAGGAGACATTTGAAACATGCCACATTTTCTGCTTCCCAAACTGCACAGGGAAGTGTTTCCCAGAGGGTGGACACCGCTACTAAGAAGACCCACCAACAAGATACTACATTGAAACGTCCCGCTAATTTTGGAATGACCGGCAAGGCTTCCTCTGATGCTCTTAAATACTAGCTGTGTGTATATAAGGGAAGGTGGTTGGCAAGATATTCTGTTCAGGAGATGTTTAGGGCTTTGTATGACAGCATGGCTCAGTAGCTAATAGGTACCTAGGACGTTGTCCTCTAGTACAGATTGTATGTGAGATTGCTGGGAGTCTCAAGGAGCACCTGAGCTGCTACGTTCTGCACTAGCTCCAGCTTCTGGACCAGGCACGAGAGAACACAGATAGCACCACAACACTCAGAATATGAGGTTCCCAGTGAATGGCTCATGGTTCCTAAGCTATTCTTAGCTTGGAATGGGCATTCTTGATGTACAGACTGAAGTTGGCGATGGATACTCTGAGCTACTACATCCCTGGTCCTTCAGAGGAAGTACAACCCCTCCAGTTGATGAAAACATCCCGGTTCCCAGACCTTGGGAACCGCCAACCCATGGGCGCTCTGTCTTATTACCGTAGGAGGAGAACTTTGCTGATCGCATCAGCCTGATATGATCTGTAAGCATGGCTCTTCCTCTGTGATGTAAAAATTCCTGTTTGTTTTTATTTTTCATCTCTGTCTTCTTCTATACTAAATTTAATTATCCTTCATCCTTTTATAAACAAACAACGTTTGTGATTGGCATGGGACCACTAAATCTGAAATTATTGCTGCTTAAAACCATTCAACCATGACATTTTGCTTACACAGGGGCTATCTATAAATAGTGTAAAATATGTGAGAACTGGTTCTTTACTGCTTCAAAAATGAACAATAAAAAAAGCAGGGGATTAACCAAGTTCCTAATATTTCAGCATTCCCAAGCTAGCCACTAGAGGGAAATCAAGGCCCACCGATATCTGTTAATTGTCCACCTGTTCTATATCCTGCCTGGGAAGTCCTGTCATCCTCTTTTACGATGGTCTCTCTGTCAATCTCTCTCTCCTTTCAAAAACAGGCTATCAGTGCAGTTGCCTTTCTCAGTTCACGGGGCGAAACTGTGAGTCAGAAATCACAGCCTGCTTTCCGAATCCTTGTCGCAATGGGGGGTCGTGCGACCCTATCGGCAGCGCCTTCATCTGCAGCTGCAAGAGCGGGTTGACGGGAGTCACGTAAGTAAGAGGGCCTCACTTTGGAGGAGGAGGTTGAAGCGCCGTGTGCACTGTGCAAAGGACCCAGTATCCCCAGTTGGTGACCTCATGCAGCAGGCTGGGGAAGAAACTTCAGATGGATGATAACCCCACCAGGGCACAAAGTCTAACTCAAACCCTCACTCGGGTGATATGGTAGTAATCTGCAGGCAAATGATATTAAATGTCAGTTTAGTTGATGCATTGATGGGAGACGTTTAGTTCCTACATTTATCTCTGTCCTTTCTTCAAGTTTAACCCAATGTGGAATATGCTGGATTCTCAAGTAGGCTTCCATCCATGACAAAACCCACACCTAGGAATGTGCAGCCGGTGGAAGTCGCGTTCATCTGAGCCGGGCAAATTTGCCTGTTTCCATTCCAATGATCAAAAGTAGGCTGAGTCAAGGAAGGGGTTTTTGCACAGATTTCCCTCTCTGAGACAGGCCACATTTTGTGCAGTTTGGAACACTAAGGGAATGTGCACAAATAGCTCTAGGTGCACAAATTGGATGCTGGAAGCTACATAGTTTGGTGCAATGTTCACAAATCATTTTTATTTATTTATTTATTTATTTTTCGATTTATATCCTGCCTTTCCTACAAACAGTTCAAGGCAGCTTACATCATTCTCCTCCTCCATCTTATCCCCACAACAACAACCCTGTGAGGTAGGTTGGGCTGAGAGTCTGTGACTGAGCCAAAGTCACCCAGTTGGCTCCATGGCTGAGCGGGGACTAGAACCCAGATCGCCTGAGTCCCAGTCCCATGCTCTTAACTATTACACCACACTGGCTCGTTTTCAGCTTTCAGACAAATAGCATGGTTTGCATGGATCTCCTGAGTGATTTTTTAAGGCACAAACTACAGTCAGTCATAGAGGCAGAAGTCCACCGGCTGGCTCAATTCACCCAACAGTGAGTTAGGGCCAGTGTGAGGTTAGCAAGACAGGAGCCAAGGAGCCAAATGCCCAGCCATGTCTTCCCAGAGTACCTCTGTAGTTCATTTGTCTTTTCCCACCACCTGGATCCAGACAGCTGTTCCATGTAGCCAGTCACTGAAGTGCACTTCTTAACTGAAAGTGCCCTTAGGTGCTAGACCAACTCCATCTATCCAGGCTGGCCATTGGGTCCTCCTGGACAGGAAGGAACAGAAATGGCTTCCTATCCCAGCCGAGCCTTGCTCCTGAACTTTGGTATGCTCATGTATCCTAGATTATGTTTTCTGACTCCTACTTTACACCCAGATCCTTGTCTTCTGGAGCCTTTGGCTAATCTGACAGCTGCCTACAGCCCGTCTTGGTGCCCACACATCTTAGTTCTGCCAAATCTCTGGGACCATCCCCAGAGGTTGTTGCCTCTTCTTCCACCTCCAGGAGCTGACTGGGCTGACAGTTCAATCTTATTTCAACAGCAGGGGTAGGGGTAGCATTGTGGTCCAAATGGGTCAGGATTGATCGATTTTATTTATTTTATTTTATTTTTTATTGATTTAAACCATTTTTATGCCACCCCATTCGCAAAAAGCTTCGGGGCGGCTTACAACAATAATAAATAAACATAAATAAGGAATTTATACAATTAGAGTTAAAAAACCGGAAGCATCTTGGCTTCACTGATTAGGTGATATAGTAATAGCTATTTTATGGAGATGAATTAAGGGCTACTAGTCTTGATAACCTATGCAACCTTCAGACTCAGAGCAAAATGCCAGTGGATACCAGTAGCTGGAAGCAACATTGGGAGGCATCTATTACCTTTGCATTCTACCTGTGGTCTTCTCAGAGGCATCAGGAAGAACCCTGTGGGATGCAGGGCTAAATAGTATCAAATGGATTTGTGGTGGTAAAGGAACACAAACGTCTTGCCTTCCACAACTTCCTTCTCATGGCTAACACTGGAAGAGTAACCTGGCCTCAACCAAATGAAGTCCACCAGCCATGTCTTGTGACCTTCCAAACGATTCATTAACCCTCCTTTCTTCTGTGTCGCAGTTGGAGGGTGCATAGCCTGTCATATGTGAAACTGCTCTGTCTTTATCACTCTACCCAGAACCCGCCTGGCTTTGTGAGTGGGATTTGAGAAGGAAATAAACTTTTGGGAAGCAAAAGGAGGGACTGGCTCTGTGTGTGTGTGTGTGTGTGTGTGCGCACATGTGCAATTCTAACGGCAGAAATCCCTCGTTTGCCTCCTTTTCAGGTGTGAAGAAGATATTGACGAATGTGAGAGAGAGGAGTGTGAAAATGGTGGCTCTTGTGTCAACATATTTGGCTCCTTTTTATGCAACTGCACGCCCGGCTATGTGGGCCAGTACTGCGGACTGAGGCCCGTGGTTGTGCCGAACATCCAAGCTGGGCATTCTTACGTGGGCAAGGAAGAGCTAATTGGCATTGCTGTTGTGCTTTTCATCATCTTCCTGTTAATAGTCCTTTTCATAGTATTCCGGAAGAAAGTCTTCAGGAAGAACTATTCCCGGAACAACATCACCTTGGTCCAAGATCCGGCTACTGCTGCCCTGCTTCACAAAAGCAACGGGATTCAGTTCAAGAACATGAGGAATAGTGGAGATAGCCGCAATATCTATCAAGAGGTGGGGCCACCTCAGGTCCCCGTAAGGCCAATGGCCTACACACCTTGCTTCCAGAGTGATTCCAGGAACAACCTGGACAAGATAGTCGATGGCCTTGGGGTGGAGCATCAGGAAATGACGACCTTCCATCCGGAATCTCCCCGGATCCTAACAGCAAGGCGAGGTGTTGTGGTGTGCAGTGTGGCTCCCAACCTACCTGCTGTATCTCCATGTCGTTCAGATTGTGACTCCATCAGAAAGACCTGGGAAAATGGCACAGACGGTAAGTTGTTCATGCAAAAACATACAGTGTTGCTCTTCCTCGTTCTTTATGCATTGTCTTTCACGTGCATCTCACCTTCCCTCCAAGGAATTCCAAGTGGTATTCACTGGCAAAAGCCTTGTGAGGTAGGTTTGGCTGATTGGTTGTGACTGGTCCAAGGTAGAATGTCTGAAGCCATTTGTTCGTATATTTTTCTTTCCACATAGTTCTGAAGGTAACAGTCATGTAAAAGAAAAATTGGGAAGGTATCAGTGGGATAAAACAAGAATTGCCCATTTAAATCAAGGCTGATTTCACACATTCTATGTCACAGTGGAAATATTCAAAACCAGTGAACAAATAGCACCATAGCAGAATGTACATGCAGTTAAAACCACATGTGCATGCAAATACTAGAGCTACAGTATCTTAGAGGAAATTAGGGGTTCCTAATTGGATACCTTTGAGCCAAATCTGCCCATTAGGGATCTATCACCATCAGTCTTCCCACTTTTTCGGCCCACTTCCCCTCTCCTCCGTTCAGAGCAGTGTCCGAAGCTGCTGAAAGCATGAGGAAGAAGAGGATATTAGATGAGGATTTATGAGCAAGAGGTAAGCAGGCAAGAAATAAGAGCATAGAGCTGCATCTAAAGTAAGTGGGTACAGCAAGGGATGGGAAATAAATTCATTTAGCTTCCATTTTAATGCAAACTTACCCAATTTTGCACTTGCAAATCTGCATTCCTCTGAAAGTCACTTTCTCCAAAGTTTGCAATGGAGTTCACCAATCAAAAATACGTACAAAGATGTCTATTGCAATGAAAACAACATTCCAGAATGCAAAGCAAAACGCTTTTAAAACTGGAGAAATTCTCAAAGGTCAAGAGGAATTAACCTTAAAACAGGAAAACCAACAAACTGAGAGAAACCCAGATTGACCATTTCATCTGTCCTAAGCACAACATGGTTTTCAGTCTGGAACTCACCGTTATGTATATAAAAACACTGTTCATAAGTAGGGATGTGACAAGCCTCTCTGGAACTTGGTTCACGCCTGCTGGTCAGACTTCTGGTTCTGGACCCTCTCTGAGAAAGCGGAACCCCAGTGGCACAACGGACAGTATTCCTTCCCTGCCGTTCCCTCTGGCCAACCTTCTTCCCCATTCTCTGCAGCTGGTGGCCACCACAGGTATGCAGGAATGACTCTGCTTGTGTTGTGTGGGGGGCTTTATTCCTGGGGAACATCCCCCGAATCCTGCACATGCTCTTGAGGAACTTGGACTCTGGGCTGCTACAAAGTGGCCCAGAGCCTGGGAAGATGAAACCAGGAAATCCAGCAGATTTTCCTTCCAAAGTAGATTCCTTGTGCATCCATAAGACACTGCAGCTATGCTATATTTCAGTAAACATTTCTGTTCATTCTTTCCAGAGCTACCAAACCGTCCCCTTAAGAATCACGATTGGTTACCAACATAAAAAACAAAGGCAGATAACGTAACAGTTAAGCTTCAATGACAAGTCTATGGATAATTAGCACTGATAGGCCATCATTTCCCCGTTTGGTTCCTGGTTTAATAAATGACTGTTCCAGCCAAGCCAAATGGAATTGCTGCATAGCCGGAATGAATTAGCATATTCAACCCACCCCATTCATTTCCCACTCCCTTTTTATTGTGTGTGTTCCAGGCAAAGGTGCTGATGAGGTGGAAGAGGTGACCTGCTTTTCAGGGAGCAATAAAGGCAGCAACTCGGAAGTGCAGTCCCTCAGCTCCTACCAGTCAGACTCTGGTGATGATAATGGTAAGAGAATTCCTGCCAATTCTACAATGACCATGGTGACCTCATTCATCACTCCATGTGGGAAGGCTTTACGGTGCTCCAGGCCATTGAAACATTGAATTGCGTGACCAACATGAAGGGCGGATGCTACAGGCATGACTTGTAACTGGAAGGGGTAGTTGGGAAGGTGGGAACAGCATTACCCTGTGTTGCAGATGATGATGTGCCAAGTCAGATGTCTTGCTATTGTTATTGTTGTTATTACATTTTTATACTGCCCATAGCCAAAGTTCTCTGGCACTTTACAATAATAATCATGGAATCATACACTCAAGTTACCCATCCCAGTTCTGACCAGTTCTGACCCTGCTTAGCTTCCAAGATTAGGCAGGATCAGTACATCCCTCACCTGAAGTATCCACTCCTTGTGTACTGAAGACTCCTAGTCTGGCTTTCTTTTTCTTCACTATGGACTATTGTGTTCTTCCAAAATAGTCAGACTGGGGAAGATACTTGAAGGTATTATAAATTATATTCTCTAGGAGAATGATCAGAAAATCAATAGCAAGGATTGCAGAGTGGAAGCTGCTCTCCTTTGAAGTTACATATAATGAGTTGGACATAATCCTAGTTGAAATAGACACATTGAAATCCATGGGATGAGTTGGTCATTTATTAACTAAGAGTAGACCCATAGGAATCAATAGGAGTTAAGCTAGTGACTAACTTAAGTCCCATGTATTTCAGAGTATCTACTGTTAAGTATGACTAAGTCTGGGTCCAGTTTTTGTGTCAGGTTGACTAAGCCCACCTGTCAATGCAGCAGTGGAAACGTTTTCTTCTGGATGGAGCCACATGCCACTGGAGGCATGAATGCTCCCTATCCTTTGCTGGACAAGGCAATGTGAACATAGGATCTGGAGTTTAACTGCTGCTGTACCTCCACCATTAAAGCATCTCCCTCTGAGGTTTCCCTCGCGCTGAGCTTACTTGTAGTTACCAGAAAATGCAGTGATATCACAGAATGTGTTTCTGTGGCCAACAGGGAGTGGATGGTGATGGGAGACCAGCCGTGTTTGTGTATTTGCATATCTCCCCGTGGCATTTACTGTGGGCCTCTGGTTGGCTTGAATGCACTGGCACTGCCTCAGGGGTCACCCTGAGCTATTGTCCCCTCATCCTCTTCGGGTTGTTCCTCTGCCTGTGGCACTACGTTTTCTAGATCACACTGGGTGATCGAGGGAGTGCTGCTGACAGACACAGTCCCACCATTCAGGGGAGTGAGGAAGACACCACAAGGCATCTGATGTAGCATGAAATGGCAGAAACTTGTCCGTCGTTTAGATTATTACCACTGCATTGCAGTGGCAGGGTGTGGGAGAGGCACTTGTGGTATTTTCTGCCTCCATTGCCGAAAGAACCGGTCAGGCCTCAGGAGGGAGAAAGTGTGGGCCTCAGGCGGCAAAACCTGGGATAGGATGAATGATCCTCCCTTAAAAGAGGCAGTTCAGATTTGATGACCTTCTAGTCCTTGTTTTGACCCTGTGACTCACCATATTGGGACCAAACACCAGTTTATGTCTTGTCTTCCTAGGATGACTTCCATTTTCCTATGGTTGCTTCTCACGTTGCTTCATTTATGCATGTAATTAACCAAAGAAATTGCTATGTTTTTCCCACACCAGTGCTGGTGACCCTAGCCATAAGTCTGATGTTATGTGCCTCTCCCACTTGGACTCCCCATTAGGGGAGCAGTGTGTGAAACAGCCACATGGACCCATGGATGGAGCAACCTCACAGCATTAGAAAGGGGTCCTTCTAAAGATCAGCTTGTCTGGTCCTGTAACCTTCTACCAGAGGATGAGAGTTTTTCTTCCTCTGGCTGAAATTTTCAGAGTTTTAGTGCTCAGCATCATGGTAAGTGCACTGACATGGGTAAATCATGGCCCCCAGAACCTCAGCCTCTGCCATCACCAAAAGCAAAAGGGTGAAAGGGAAAAACACACTCCTGGAGCAGGCTGTGTGTTTCCTGACATGGAAGATCCATTCCCATGATGTCCTCAAGTATCCTAGGAAGCCTTGCTTGAAGGGTCCTGCAGCTTCCTCATCCTAGGAATGTTCTAGCAACAGGGTCTCTTTGGACAAACAAATCTAGTCCTAGAGCATTTTCTTCATTAGTAGAAGAACTGGGGCAGCATAGTGGGGAGGGGATTCCCACCCTTCGCTGCTGTGATAAGAAACAGATGCTCTTGTTGCAAAGCCAAGGTTTGTTGTTGCTGCCGGCATGAGGATGAGTGGTGTGTAAATGGCTTGAGTGTGTGTGTGTGTGGTTGCACACACATGTGCAGTGCCCACGTTGCAGCAGGTGGACCAAAAAGGTTGTACAACCCTGTCCTGGGCAGAGCTGAGAAAGGAAATGGGAGGCAGTGGGAGAGGCAATCAGACTCGACTTGGAGGGTGCCTGGAGAGCCTTATAGATGGAACCTAGGGCTAGCAGTTGCTTGGGCAAAAGAAACATATATAGCCAGGCTGGGGGGCGGGCGGGATGCTAGCGGGCTGGTGATAGTGCTGTTGTGAGGACAATAACGCTTTCAGCATTCTTTGTGCAACCTCAGATGGATCACCAGATTGGCAAAAGAACCATGGGCCATCATTATGAGCCAACGTTCCATGGCAGGGCATCCATGGTGCTTGTCCAATTCAAGTAGAACTCTGCCTGTGACCCTAGAAAGGTCTGAGCAGACAATTTAAGAGTTAAACCAATTGTCAAAATAAGCTGTGTTCATATATGACACAGAACAGACCCCCATCTGTGTTGGTCCTGTTTTCTGCATCCATGAAACTTACTCTTCTCTACAGCTAACAGAAATGTGGTGGGCCATCATTTCAGAAATGTTCCGAGGCTGGCCAACTCTGATCTATAGGACTGTTTTTAAAAAGCGTAGTCTTTAAAGGAAAGCTGTTTGTTGATGGTCTTCTAATTAAGGCTGCTGAACTTGGTCATTCTCACACAAGGGCTTTGTCTCGCAGGCAGCCCATGAAAGTAAATGCATTCTTATTGGGAAAAGATTTAAACCAAGAAGACTTTCAAACTACCTCGTATTTTTATGGTTGCCTACAAGGTAATGGCCACATGGAGGAGAGTGGCCCGTCTCTGGAGGCCTCTGAGAAAGGATTAATTAGAGATTAGTGTCAGAACAGACACGATACTGTCCTGGTTAATTGAATCTGCTGGACAATCCAGGCAAATTTATGAACTGATGTTCATCACCATATATGAGCTTTCTGAAAGTGCTGCCTTTGAATGCATCCCCATTTACTTTTCTGTTCAGTGGCAAAAAATGTATGGGATTAAGTGAAATTGAAATGTCCTTCAAGCTGCTGCATACTTCATTAATGCCACAGACTTCCTTCCCCCAGTGCACCCACCCTCCAGGAAACCTGTCTGTGGAAATTTAATATTGGTAACCTTACAACGCTGTGTGTCATAAATACTAACATGAAGCTGTCCTTCCCTTTATTTCTGCTCTCCTTCTCCCACAAGCTTCCATAGTGACTGTCATACAGCTTGTCAACAATGTAGTTGACACTATAGAAAATGAAGGTATTTAATCTTTTAAATTATTTCTCCTGCATTTCTCCTATTGTCTTTTGTTCATTTGTTTGAAAGAACACAGTGGAACCTTATTAACTCGCACTGGCTTGCCAGGCTGCAGCAAACAATTTGGTTTTGCCAACGAGCAAAGTCTTGGGAGGAGGGGGAAACACTCGTGCATGCGAGACAGCCAAGCTCCCGGCAGACAACATGCGGCCATTTTTCTGATTTCAGTTGACATTTGAGGTCAACTTAGGCCGACAGGGAGTTGGTTTGTCGTCCCCACACACACACATGCACCACCACCAGCATGCGATGTGTCCTTTGCAGCACTGGGGATCCATTGCAATGATGCCATCAGAAAGGGACCCAAGGAAGTGGACTCAAGATACCGCTCTAGTAGCAGCCAGGACTGGCACCAGGGAAGGCAGATTGGGTGACTGCACCCAGACATAGGTGCCTGCAACAGGGTTGGCTGCTTCACTGCCTCCTCCTCATCACACCAGGCCCTTGGAAACAATGGCGAGCGCTCCCTGCTGAGAGGCGTAAGCCATGGTGAGATGTGGGAGGGCACATCTCCCAACATCAGACGGAGGTACATTCCGTGAGAAGAGCTCTTCCATCCACAGAAGGCAGATCCTGGATCCAAACCACAGTAAACCATGGACACGGCATGGAACCAGTTGGCAAACCTAGCCATCCTTGTCTCCTCACACTTTTGCAAAGCCAGCTTAATAATAAGCATGGCCAGTGCACATGAGCTCAGCTAAGATCCAAGGGACACCTGTATGGCCAGTGCAGGCATTGTAAGATAAGTTTCTGTGGCCTAGAGCCCACTTTGTCAAAGACATCATATCAGCCGACTTTACAACAATCCTGTAAAATAAGAGAGTTTTGCAACCTCTTCCTGGATTGCTGGCAGAGAAGCAGTGGCTTGCCCAGTGCCGGCCTGCATGTTTGCTTTGTTCTCTGTTCAGCCGTAAAGTTGTGCCTGACCCATCGCGACCCCATGGACAACATTCCTCCAGGCTCTCCTGTCCTCCACCATCCCCCAGAGTCCACCCAAGCTCACACCCACTGCCCCAGTGACCCCATCTAGCCACCTCAACCTCTGCCATCCCCTTCTCTGTTTGCCATCAATCATTCCCAGAATCAGGGTCTTCTCCAGTGCAATTACAGCCAGTACCAAAGGATGCCTTCTTCCTGCTCCAGACTCAAATCTCTGGCCCAAAATCACTTTCATATTGTGAGAATTCTTTCACTGATATTTTGGTATTAAATGCGAAGAGCTAGTATGTCATAGTCAGTACACTAGCTAGGAAACACTTCCTGCTTTGCTAGAGACATCCACCTCACCTTTAGTCAAGCCAAACCTGTTAACACCATCTCCAAAACACCTTTGCAGAAGAAAATGCCTCAGAAGAAGCTGCGTCTTTCTAAGCTAAGGTCCATTTTGATTCTCTGCTTCCATGTGGTGTTACCTGCTCTTAGGTAATGCCACCTCAGCTTGTGAGACTTCTCTCTGAAAGATAAATTTTCTAGGAGGCAGGACACCAACTCAAAGGGTGTGCATAACTATACAGCGAGGAAGCATGTCACCTTTGCTAAGATGGAAAGGTACGGGCCTACATCCACTTGAGGGCCACATGCGGAAGCAGAGTAGCAGGTTGGACTCAACTGGCTTATAGGCCTCTTCCAGCTCTACCATTATTCTGTTCTATTGAAACCCAGGAGCTGTTACATTATGGACTGTTGGGAGCTGTAACTCCCAGGTAGAGCATAGGATTTGACTAAAGAAGGCCCCCAGCTCAGTCTCCTGCCATTTCCCCATTAAATTGTCTCGGGCAACGCTAGGGAAGGCCCTTTCTCAATCTGGGTTGCTCCAGATGTTGTAACCCAGATGGCCAATGGTCAAGATATTGTGAGTTGTATTCTAAAGCATCTTGGAGGCCCACATTGGAACTCCAAGTAGAATACGGACTGCACTGAGTGAACCAGTAGTCTCATCTGGTACACAACAACTTCATATCAGATGACGTCACGGTGCAAATATCTTTCTCAGCAGCAAGAACTTGGCTTCTTCTAAAGCCAACCCAACCCCTAAATGCAACAGTACCCCTAATTAGAAAGGTTGACTTCTCAAAAACAAATCAAATTAGGATGCACATTTAGCACACACAGCCTTGCCTAGCTAGGAATATTTGAAGCCACCTCTTGAACCACCCCAGAATAATTTCAAGTCCTCTTTCACCCACTCTCGGACCAGATGAGACATACCCCGCAATGTAGGCTGTAACAGCAGAGCTGACAGAGATGGCCTCACCTGCATGGTCCTTGTTTCAACATGGGAAAGAAAAGGGAGAAATTCTGAATTGTGGGTTGGGCAAGTTCGGAGGTTAATGAGATTCTGCTGTGCGGTGTAAAGAATTATGTGTACTCTGACATGTAGAATAACCATGCAGATTGGGGTGTGGGCATGCAACCAGTGAGGGACACAGGCAAGGTCTTTGTGTCTGGTCAATGCCAATGTTTTGAGCCCTTTTTCTTTTCTTTTTGGAATAGTCAGGGCCGGTTCAGACAGTGCTACCTGAGCTGCAACCACTGGTCATGAGAGAAACTATTTGTCCTTCTGTGACTCAGCTAGGATCGGTTGCCCAGTTTCAGTGCATCCTCCTTTGCTCCCTGAATCAAGGCCGTGTGCCGAGGGGAAGCAATGTAGGATGGGCCGGCAAATACACAGAGCCCAGTCCCATGGGATGCTGTAGAAACCAAAAGAGGGATGCTGCAGCCTTCTTGTCTGTTCCAGCATCCCCCCTGCCATCAGGCCAAATATCCAGGATGTAGCATGGCATGCAATAAATTGGGACAGAGCAACAGTGCTAAAGAGTCCTTGGACTAGTCTAACATGGAATATAATTTGAATAAATAAATAAACTGTTGCACTGGGCAGCCTGACTGGAGAGATTAAGGATGGTTCCCAAGGGCTACTCCTTCTGAAATCTGGGGTCATATATCAGGTTCAGTATGAGCAGAGCCACGTCTGGATCTGGGAACACCCAGTTCTGGCATGTTGTGGTTTTTCCTTTATATTTAAGTGGAATCTGATGACCATGTGAATAAATCGAGCCACTGTTTGCAAGACACATCATCCAAACAGCTCAGAAGATGCCGGCCACACTGAGTTAACATTGCATCGATGAGCTTACATTAGTCCAGTTTCTCATGCTTTACCAGCCCACTCAGGCAGCTGTGGGATTCACGTCTCCATGATAAAGTCTTATCACAAAGATTTAATACACAACTGTTGTTTTAAAAACAACAGCTAGAAAGCAAGTTTCTAGCTCCCAGATTCTGAAAATAGACAGGACATATATCTGAAAGAAAAAGAAGATCCTATCAGTCTGATTTAGAAGATTTTTCCCAGCTAAGACAGCCTACTTCCGTAAGTGACTTCCTTCCATTGTGTGCTTTTAACAGCAGCTTGATGGGCGAACATCAGGAGATGCTAAAGCAGCCTGCTTGCATGCAAAAGCACCTGTAGCCAGACCTCGGTATCTCCACGTAGCTAGGGCTAGAAAACCTCCTGCTCAAAATCCTGGAAAGCTGCTGCCAGTAAATGTAGACTAGTTTCCCCCAACCTGGTGCCTTCCTGGTTGCTTTGGACTACAACTCCCATCAGCCCTGACCAGCATGACCAAAGGCAAGTCTATTCCCCACTCAGCCTGGTGCTCACAGCGCAACCTACCTCGACAGGTTATCGTTAGGATAAAATGGAGAGGAGGAAGACCATGTGAGCTGCCTTGCAGGAGAAAGTGAGATCAGAATCAGCGACTGCAGTCCAGTGCATCCGGAGAGCACCCGATGGGGAAGGCTAGCAGAGACAACACCAAGCTAGATAAATGATCGGTCCGACTTGGTGTGAGGCAGCCTCCTATGCTAGCAGCAGAAAACAGAACCAGATGGTCGTTACTTTCCTGGCCAGGCGGTCCCCCTTCTTCGCCGCGCAGAAAGTTATAACTCTGGCTAGGAGTGAACTCTGTGGTGCTTGCTTCTGGTGGCCCAATTGACCGCCTTTCTGTTCTGTTCTGTTCAGGTTGTTATACCGTGCCCCTCACCGTGGTATCTGAGCGTACTTGGGCCCAGATTTGTTTGAACCGGCCCTGAGAATGGTAGATTCTTATTTTTTCTGTTTCACAGTGAGCGAGAGAGAATTAAACCATACATCACAATTTTAAAAAATGTATAAACATTTCGTGGTAATATGCTTGAGTCAGTTTTGCATGCAGATCATTAAAGTAACGCATCCTACCATTTGGTGTAAAGCAATGTTTCTGTTTGTATCTATCTAAGTCTGATTACAAGAAGCAGATTAATATTTTAACCATCACCCAAAGTCTTGCTTAAAAGCCGTCTTAGTAATGCTTAAGCAGATGCTTTAGAAGCATTTGCTATCCTGTAAGATTTTCGGCAGTGCCTATTTCACCTGTGCTACCTTGTAGACTTGTGATTTTCCAGTGTTGCTTTTTTCACTTTGTATTTAACAGTGTCTGGTATGGAGGAAGGACAGAACTACAACCGAGGTGATCCATTTGCCTGCTGTACAGTGGGTGGGACCAGGCAGTCGCAAGGCCTGGATTGTTCACGTCTTACTAATAAGCTCGGTTTGGCCATCACCTTTTGAATCATGCTGAGCCCAGATTGTGCATGTTGCAGCATGTTACAGTGCGCGTTTTGGTTGTCTGGGGGGATTTTTTTCTTGTTATTTCAGGGCATGGCTGGTTCTTTTTCATTCTGCCTATTACTTCGTGTGCCTGTGTAATTTGTCTCTCTCTCCCCAGACCAACATCTTGGCAATGAGCACAGCAGCAAGAGCATGCTGACTTTTATTAATGTATCTCTTTATGCACTTTTCTAACTGATGGATGGACTTGCACTTCCATGAGCTGAGCCTTACATTAGATCTTTAGCATTTTTGATTTCTCAGAATCTTATTTACTTTAAAAGGGCTGTGTTGTGTCAGTTGTTGTTGTGACCCGAGATCGCTTCTCCGCATCCCAGCCAAAGCATGGATGGCTGGTGTTTAAAAACAAGCAAACCACTCTGGTGCATGCTAGCAATTTGCATATGTGGATAATTAGGCTGTCCTGGGGGATTTGCTTCAATCCCGGTTACATGCGATGTATTCCATTTTGGTCCAGATCTGTACCCACTCCCTTAATACTCTGGGTGTGTTTCCTTCTGCAGCTTATCACTGGGACACTTCTGATTGGATGCCAAGTGCTCGCTTATCTGACATTGAGGAAGTACCCAATTATGAGACAGCAGACGGTGGCTCAGTGCATCATGGGAGCACCAGAGAACTGGAAACAGACTACTACCTTGGCGGTTATGATATTGACAGCGATTACCCTCCGCCACATGAGGAGGAGTTTTTAAACCAGGACCAGTTACCGCCTCCTCTTCCAGGAGACTATCCAGACCAGTACGAAGCCCTTCCTCCATCACAACCAGTCTCCATGGCCAGCACACTCAGCCCAGATTGCCGACGGCGGCCACAGTTCCACCCAAGCCAGTACCTGCCTCCGCATCAGTTCCCCAATGAGACGGACAATGGTGGACCTCCAGCCAGCAATGAATTTAGTACTTTTGGGGTTGGCCCAAATGCAGAAAACATAAGTGCGGCCAAGAAGCCCTTATCCTTACACAATTCTCTGGACGCATCCTCATCTGACATTTCGGCGGGCTGTGGCTTTGAGGACTCCGAGGTGGCCATGAGTGACTACGAGAGCATAGAAGAACTCCACCTGGACCACCATCACATTCCCATTCCTTTTGTGGAGACCCATCATCAGACTCAAGTGTGAAGGAGCCGTTCTTGTCGGTGTTGGTGTTGCTGTCGTTTGGTCCCGTTCATAGCATAACTGTAAAGAAGACTTTTTTGCTAAATAAAAATAAAATATATAGATCTATAGAGGGGACAAGGTGGAAATCTAGCGTGAGCCATTTTTAACCCTGTCAAGAAGCTCAAGGTGTACAGCAAATTGCAAAAAGAGAACAAAAGACAGTCTCAGAAAATTGGAACTTGGTCACCAAGTCTTGGAGTTGGCACCTCCAGTGCGTTGCCCATAGAAGGGGGGGAATGGTTTGGCAATGGATGGGCTTCCCCTCTATCCATATTTGTTGAGTACTGTACTATTAAAAGTGTTACAAGGCTAAAACACCTGCAGTATTACAAAAGAGTGGAAAATATTTCCCAGGTCCTACTGGCATTGCTTTCTGGTCTAAACATTGGTCCATCCATGGATGAAAGCAAGTTAGCTGTTAGAGGTGCTGTTATGCTAGTAATTCCCCTTTTTAAGAAAAAAAATCCTTTCCAAATCAGTCCTTTTGATCGGTCCCATCAATGATCCCTCGCTGTAGTGTTACCTGTAATGAAACTCCACTTCACATATGCATTTGAAATTGGTGGCATTCGAAATTTCTCAAGGGGATGGAAGGCTCTTAGGCACGATGTGAAGCAGAACTGCGACACGGACAATGGAATGACCCCCTGCTCTAGACCATACAGGAGCGGCAACTGAACAATCACTCTATGCTCACCATTGCGTATCAGCATGGAACTGGCACATGGCTGCCCAAGTGCTGATCACATGACACTGGTCTAACATGGCCCCAAGCAACACTTCAGTAGTCACAGTCCTCAATAAAACATGCTTGCTTCATTACCCCCCCTCAAGTATACATCGCTGGAGGACAGCACAACTAAATACAGAGGAGATCTAGGCTCTTGTACCTGACTTGTAGAGGGGGGATTTGGGGAAGCTAGCAAAATCCAGAAAGTGAGGTTTACAAACTGACATCTTTCATGGAGCATCTCTGTGCACCTGCTGAGCAGCTAATCCCATGTCCCTACAACTCAAAAGTTCTGTCTTTGATTTATTTTAATCCTCTGTCCATCTCCACTCCGACTTTTGGGATTCAGTGCCATTTTTCTCTCAATCCACAGATAAACACAGTGCAGAAACTTGTTTCAGTTATTCATGCATGCTTGCACCAGTTGCTTGATTGCTGCGAAAAGAGATGAGCAAACCCATTTTTGCTGTAGATTTGAGTTCCTTGGCTACATTCCTTTTCTGCCTGCAAGTAAGAGTTTAACTTTGCATTGATGTGCAGCTTAAAGGCTACCCTTCCTTCCCTGAGAGCAGTCAGTCAGCCAAGAATTGTACCAAGTAACTAAATCTGCTCTAGGAGGAAAGTCACGGATGGCCAGGTACCATAACAAGCTTTCATGTCCTTGCCTCATCATGGTTCCCCATCAGCACGACATTAAATGCAGGTCTTCAGCACATGCCCTTCCATGAAGTAAAAGATTGACATGATTTGACTTGAATTTCAAGATTGCTTGTTTCATTAAGCTAATCAGCCAGTTCTTTCTGCCGCAGGAGATACAGTTCATAAATTGCCGATATAACAAGCGAACTGATTTTAAAAACAATGATATGACAACCATGTAACACTTTTAATAGCAAAGAGACTCTTGATATCCACACGCTAAATTTGGTAATTTATGGTTTACTGCCCTTTCCTCATGCAATGAGAGTATAATTGCTGCAGAAAGCATTCTGGTTAGAAACAGAGTTCTGGGTTTAAAATGGGTTTGGAGCCAAGACTGTATAAAAATAGACAGCCTATAAAAATATTCTGAGAAGTATAGGTCTGTTCATTCTTTCTGTTCAAGGGATTTAGATTTTTCTTGGTTTCCCCATCCCATGGAATTACAGGCATCCATTTGTAATTTATTTGTGAATTTTGCTTTTTCTATTCCTCCTCAACCTCTTATGCTCCCCCCGCCGCCCCATGTTTTGTGGGTAGGAACAGGAAATTTTATACTTGAACTGTGTTTCTCTCAAGAGAAGAATATATATATATACTCATAAAGCCATTCTTCTTCCAAGTCAGAGTTGGCCAGAAGAAACTGTTAACTCAGAAAAACGTACACAATGCAGAAGCTAGCTGATGTGTGGATTGACAAATTTAATTTTCCTTTAAAAAGAGAGAGAGAGATGGAAAATATGGCATTGTACAAAAGTTCAGACTTCAATCAACATCTGCTCCAGCTTCTCAAGCTCACAGTGACAGCATGCAGAGGGGTTGACCCAAGTGGACACACATTTGAACTTTGAACTATTGTTCATTTGAAACAGGGAGCTCTGGGCTTTGTCCCCCATGAAGTAATTATGAAGTAATCCTTACTGGCTTTCACTTACAGAAGGAATGGCCAGCTAATGCTTCTCTGGGACACTTAATATCTAGATTTATTTTTATTTTTCTGATTACTGGGACATATCAGCAATGTCACACAGGGAAATATTTGGAAACTGAAAAAAGTTAATAGCTGCTGAACACTGTTATTTCTGCACTTTTCCCCTCAGTATTCTTGTAGTCTTCCACAGGATGAACCCTAATGTTGCCTAAGTTAAGCAACCCTATGGGAGCCCTGAGTAGGAGATCCCTTCCGTTCTCCTCTTTCTGCACCTTCTGTGTGATCCTCCCTGTGGGATCCTTTTCCCTTTGCCAGATCCTGTTGTCACCATTTCTGCTTCCCCTGCTCAGTAACAGCAACCAACTGGTCAACCCCTCCCCCCCAGCAAACTGTACAGTTCTCCCATTTATGCAAGGAAAGGCCAGCTCTGCTAAATTCAGAAATGGTTGTGCCCATTCATTCGTTCATGCATTCCACTGCATTTCCTTTCACTTTATTGTAGGACCTGCTGGGCCTTAACCTGTAAGGCATGAGAAACAGCTCAGAAACACTGTAAGAAACACAGGAAACAGTAAGCTCCTGCATTTCAGCATAGTGAAGGATACACCGTGTGAGGTGTTAGGACAGATCTTTGCTTCCCGTAGCCACGAGTGAGGCTGAATTTGCCAGCCTTCTTGGAAATAGCAACTCTGAACTGTATCAGATTTGTGTACTGTGCAGTGGGTGTCATGGACATGGGGCATACTCCAATGGGTTATTTATGAATAAATCCCAGGACTACATTTAGTTAGGACTAAATTCCACTGAAACCAGTTAGTCTTGACTCATAGCCATTCTATGAACAGATGAAGGGGTGGAATCCCAGATCAAAGCACTTGGAGACAGATGTTAGAAAGGGTACCGTCTCTGGGTGCTTCTCCACCCACAAGCATCCCACACAGAGCAAACTGGGACATCTTGGAGAGGCATAGGTGATACTTTCCTTCTTGGCACACAAAGGGATTTGAGTTTAATGTGGAACAGCTTCCAAAAATGCAGCCTGTGTTCCTGCAGATGAAAGTGGCCCAACCCACCTTCCCTTCTCATCTTGCATCATGTAGAAAGACACACATGCCCACCCCATTGCTTTCAATGGGACACAGACCTAGTTCTTCGCAAGACCACACGCTTGAGGCTGGGCTGGATGTCAGTCAGGAGGTTATGCCATGAAATGCACTTCTCAAAGGTAATAATATATCTTTCCATGTTGCTAAGCATCAGGTTGAAAGGTGCTACTCTAGACCTTCTCCTGGCATTATTTTCTGTATCCAAGGCTGGGAAGGGCAAGTTGTACCAAGAAACATCCAGCCATGTGAGCCTCAGCTTGCAGTGTGACTGGCACAGCCAAAAATATCACTGCCTCAAAGAACTAGGCCTTAACTATAGGTGACTTTTCTGCCCATAACACAAATAGATAGATGTATATAGAGAGAGGAGAGTGTGTATAAGTTTGCATGTATCTATCTGCATCTGTTCAGCAAGGCAACGTGAAGCCACTGCACAATGTTGGATACCACATGCCCATTTTAGGTCTCCTTAGTGCTACGAGGGACCCAAGTTGTACACGTAAACCAGTTTCCTGAGCTCAGTCAGTAATGCCTGATGCTCAGCAGCTTACATATTTCACCGGGGAAAAGGAGTCTAAGCTCCTAAATGCAAAGACAGAACTTAAATTCTGCTTCTGGAAGTGATCAGCGCCCCCACAACCCCACCCACCACTCCCCACAGGCCTGTGACAACCTCTTCAGACAAATGTGCTTGCTCTGGTTGAACTTTCATATCTCTATAATGTATACATGATAGGGGGTGCAAAAGGCCATTGCCAAAATCAACTTGGGAAGGCCAGCTGGGGACTACAAAGTACTGAGACCAAGTGGATGATACATCCTGAAGGCATGAGAACATGTTCCTAAAACACTCCCATGCCTGAAAATAAGGGCAAGATCTTTGTTTGAAGGCTAGGAGCAACTAGTTTGGGGCAACATGACTGTAGAGCTGGCCAGAAACCAGTGTCCAACAGAAAGCTAGGCATTCTCCATTCCCATTGATGGTTGCAGGGTTGGGTAAGCTGAACGTTCTGGTGGATGCTGGTCCTGGACAGAAGGTGCCAATGGTGTTGTTGCACTAGTGGGAGTGACTGCTAATGAATAGAAAGCTAGCACTTCCTGCAGAGCTGTCTGGTTCTGAAAAAGCTAGTTTGGGCTAGCTCACCAAAAGTTCTTCCCACTAGCACAACCCAATGAGCCTGGGTGGACTGCCAGTGTTGACTCCTGACCCACGACCTTAAGTTGGACCCGTGCAATGGCAATCCACCAACCCAAACAGCCCACCAACTAGAATCCAAATAAATGTTCTGTTGGCCAACTAGAATCCAACTATATGTTCTGCTTTTGCTGCTGCCTGCAGCACAGGCTAAGTGGTCGGTCACCCAGCAGGCCCTCATACATGCTCAGTTCTGATGGTCATAAGCTGCACAGGTAAGTATAAAAGCATAATCTATGGACAAACTAGATGGTCTCCCAAAAGAGGGGCTGTTCGGCCATGTTGTGTGACACTCTACAT